GGTGTATAAGTTTGAAGTACTTCTTCACACAGAAAGAACTGAACATGAGGCAGTAGAGATGGTTAGAACTGATAAAGGATTATGATTTGCAAATTTTGTACCATCCAAGAAAAGCTAACACCGTTGCCGATGCACTGAGTTGGAAATTGATTGGAAATTTAGCCTGTTTACTCACCGGGCAGAAAGAATTGCTATGTGACCTTGAAAGATTTGAAGTTGAGATTGTTTTGCGCGAACAAGGTGGAACCTTAGCTGCTATTTCTACTCAACCGGCACTTATTGAAGAGATTAAAGAGAAACAACAACGTGATGACTTCTTGAAGAAAATCATCGATGAACGAGGAACTAAACTGAGGCCGGGTTTCAAATTTGAAAACAATGTACTGAAATTTTAGGGAAGGTTATGTGTACCGAGTGATTCTGAACTGAAAAGAAGAATTCTGCAAGAGGGCCACAATTCAAAATTGTCTATGCATCCAAGAAATACGAAAATGTACCAAGACTTGAAACTGAATTTATGGTGGTCGGGAATGAAGAAAGAAATTGCTGATTTTGTGTCGAAATGTCTTCATTGCCAACAAGTTAAAGCCAAACATCAACGACCCGCAGGCTTACTGCAACCCTTACCGATACCGGAGTGGAAATGAGAACATATCACTATGGATTTCATTGTTGGTTTACCTCGCTCCAGTAAAGGTATGGACTTAATTTGGGTTATTGTTGATAGATTGACTAAATTTGTTCACTTCTTACTTGTCAAAACAATTTATAATGCGGACAAATTGGCTATAATCTATATTGATGAGATTGTTAGATTGCATGGAGTGCCTGTGTCCATTGTTTCTGATAGGGACTCGAAGTTTACATCGAGATTCTGGCAAAGCCTACAGACATCATTGGGTATTGAACTGAAACTGAGTAGTGCATATCATCCTCAGACAGATGGCCAGTCAGACAGAACCATCCAGACTCTGGAGGATTTACTGAGAATGTGTGTCCTTGATTTTCAGGGAAATTGGGAAAATCACTTACCGTTGGTTGAATTCGCCTACAACAACAGTTTTCATTTAAGCATTGGTATGGTGCCTTTCGAGGCTTTGTATGGCAGAAAATGTCGATCTCTAATTTGCTGGGCAGAAGTTGGAGATGGGTCTTTGCTTGGGCTCGAGATTGTACAGGAAACCACAGAAAAGGTGAAACTGATTCAACAGCGATTGAAAACCGCACAAAGCCGACAGAAAAGTTATGCAAATGTCTGAAGGCGAGACAAAGAATATGAAGTAGGTGACCACGTTTTTGTTAAAGTGACACCAATGAAAGGCCAGACTCGTTTTGGAGTTAAGAGTAAGTTAGCGCCGAGATATGTCGGGCCGTATGAGATTATTGAAAAGATTAATCCGGTGGCGTATCAAGTAGCGCTTCCTCCTGAAATGGAGCATATGCATAATGTCTTCCATATTTCAATGTTGAGGGATTGCCTCCGGGATCCCTTCTATGTGATTGAGCCTACCCGTGTAGTGCTAAGTGATGACTACACTTATGAAGAACGACCTATTCAGATTGTAAACAGACAGATCAAGAAGTTAAGGAACAAAGAAATCCCGTTAGTGAAAGTTGACTGGCAAAACCATGGTGGCATGTATGCCACTTGGGAAAGGGAAGACGATATGATAAAAAGATATCCTGAATTGTTCCCACTGAATCCAGTATTCTTCCAAAATAAAGGTAATTCGAGTTTGGAGGACCAAACTCTTTGTAAGGAGGGGAGACTGTGACAACCCTCACCATTGATTAGTGCTAATCTATGATTAAGCATGTTAAGTGACCGATTGACTAAAATTCTGACTGATTGATTGAGTGCATTAGCTTAAGTGCAAATCTATCTGTTTGACTGCTAAATGATTTGTTCATGTTTTATGTTTTAAACTGCAAATGGAAGGCCTTATCGGCAGCCGAATTCGAAATTGATTAGTGTTTTATGCTAATTAGAATTAATGTGATTTTATGGTAAATTTAGTTGAAATTTGATTTGGTATGATTAAATTGGATTAAATAATGTTAAATTGCATTAGTGGGCTTATTTACTAAATTATCACTTAGTGGACTTTCATGAGCCTTTTATTTGATTTATCTATGTTAGCTTTATCACATTTCCTCAGCCATTTGAGACCCATAATCGACTAGAGAGAGAGAGAGTGAGAGGAAAAAACTCGATTTTAACAAATTTAGCTTAGAGACTTGAAGATTTTGAAGAGAGATTGCATAATTGATCCTCTAGACTTGAAATTGAAGACTTAAGGTAGAGCTTTTACCTTCTTGTTTATGAATTGAGTTGGTTCTCGCATGGTTTAGAAGATGTTAAGGTCTAGAGCCAAGTTATGGCTTAAAATGTTGAATTAAGGCTTAAATCATGCATGCATGTTTACATTCTTGTATTTTGAGGTTGTTTTCATAGAATCCTCACATGCATGTCCGTATTTGGGTTATAGTTCATGAATTCATCATGTTTTTGAAAGGATTGGCTCATTTGTTCTTGTATTAGAAGCTTTGTTTTCAATTGAACACTTGCATGTTGCATATTCATCATGTTCTTGATGTTTATTTGAAAATGGTGTTAAATTGACTCACCATTGGGCTTTGATTTTACAAATTGATCTTCAAAACATGTTATATGATGGGTTTAAAGTGTTTTTCCAGAAAATGGGCCTAAGAGGTTGAGTTTTGATGTGTTAAATGTTGAGTTTCATGCTTGGAGACAAATCTGGAAATTCCAGATTTTGGATCTACGCTCGAGCGAGGAACTCCACGCTCGAGCATACACTTTGAGTTCATGCAGTCCGCTCGAGCGAGTATAGTGACGTTCGAGCATGAAATGCGTGTATCCAGTACTTTGCATGTGTTTACAGTCCGCTCGAGCGAGGGAATGCACGCTCGAGCGAGGGCTTGTGTCTCACGCTCGAACGGGGGTCGACCGCCCGTTGAGCGTGAAATTCATGCATCCAGTACTTTTACAGTCCGCTCGAGCGAGGAAAGTCACGCTCGAGCGGAGCTCTTTTGTCTGCATGTCCGCTCGAGCGTAGAAAGCCACGCTCGAGCGATACCCCTGTTTTCTGAAAATTCTGAAAAGTGTTTTAAAGTGCATCTTTGCATCCTTATTTCATCCTAGGCATTCTTAGGCCTAGTTTAAGGCATCTTAATGAGGTTAATGCAATAGAACCACACCGAGTCAAGATAGGGACTAAGTTATTGTTTTGCCAAACGTGTAACTTAGGCCTCGTTTGGGAACAGGCTAATTTAGTAACTTTTTGACTATTTGGCTAAAAAAGTAGGTAAAAAAAAACTTGTATGTTTGGGATGACTTTTTGGCTAATTACGAAAAGATGTGCAAAAAGTAGAGAAAAAAGAGAATCTTTGACTTTTTGGTATGAGTTGTTAGCTTTTTGGCTAATTTAGTAACTTTTTGGCTAATTGGCTAAAAAAGTAAGTCCCCAAACGGGGCCTTAGTGTGTGTTCATTTTGTAACTGTGTAGGGTTGGCATTCGAGGACGCTCACTAGCCTATCTGTAACCCAGAACTCTGTGAGTAACAATGTTGTAAAGATATATTCAATCATGAATAATTTTTGAATGATCAACTATACTGCTTTTTGAAATGAAATGATATTTCTTACTGAATGAATGCTTGTCCTATTTGCGAACTGTATCCGTGGCATCCATAGCAATTTACTGTTACTGTATTGTACTGTTACTGTCACAGAGATCTCTGTCGGTTCCCATGTTTGGAACCACTACTGTTTACTAATATGATGGCCGTCAATTGACTGTTCGGTCTGTTAAGGCCTACTGTACTGTTTGCTATTGGATGTACCACTTATGACTGCTATGATCGAATAACTGTTATACTGTTCAAATGACTGTTTTAAATACTGAAATGACATTCATTCCTAACCTCTTTACACAACTGTTATTCACTGGGCTTTAACTTACTGTTTATATATATATGTAGGTGTCCAGGCACCGGATCAGAGCTAGGAGCGTTGGGTTAAACTCTATTTTTGTCAAGCCAGCCACTGTGCCTCACTGAGAGGTTCCAAATCCTTCAAGCTAGGGCTTTTTGGGGTGTTTTAGATTTCCCTTTCTGTTTCTATTTTGTATAGACTGTATGAGACTTGTACTGTACTGTTATGGTAAGGATTTGGTCTATAACCTGAATGCCTGTATATGATGTATGTTTATACCGTTATGGTTTGAATGTGAATTACGTTATGAAAAGTCTTTTTGCATACAGACTGTCACAGCTTATTGGACATCTTTCATTTACTGTTTTGACTTTCGCCAGCCCCTGTACTCTGTATTACTGTCTTTACTGTTAAGTAGGCTTTCGGTAATCACGGATTACTGGCCGGTTACGGTGCTAAACCCATATGGGCGGGTTTGGGTCGTGATAATCACAAACCCAATTAAATTCTAAGATCAAAACCACCAAAGCTATGTTGGGAATGTGCTATTCTTTGTCTATTCACAAAAAATGATGACATAGACGATATAGATATATATATATATATACACATCTATCTCTATCAATATAGAAAGAGAGAGATGAGTTTTTTTACTTACCTTTGACAAATGAGAAGAATGAGTTCAATCGTCCATGCCCGTCCAAATCCCTCAACGCTAGTGTTGTCTACTCTTATTTCCTGCGTTGTTCTTTATGCGTAGTTTTTTTTTCCTTTTTTTCCTCTAAAAGTATGGGTGTAAAGAGATGAATTTTGAAGAGTTTTTTACCTTACGATTTGTTCTGCTAATATATTGAGTGTAATAAGAATTTAATTTAATTTTTTTTTATGATGCAATACGATAAAGATTGTAAAAAGATAAATAAGTGGTATAAAAAGATAAATAAGTGGTGTAAGTAAAATCACCGAACACATATAAGGGATAGAAAGAGGTGAAGTAGTAGTTTAATTAGAATCACCTTTTGTAATTTACCCTAACTTTATTTTTCACAACATCGTCGCTGAAATAGCACGAGGCTGCCAAAAGAAAAAGGTGCAGTCAGTGCGTTAAGGAGAGGAGAGGAGAGGAGACGAGACGAGACGAGAGGAGATTCGTTTGAACCGCCGTGTGAACCGGCAACAGAGCGACCATCCTCGTCCTCGTCCTCATCATCGTCATCGTCATCGTCATCGTCATCGTCATCGTCATCGTCAACAACAGCTGTAGTGTAGTCAGTAGTCTGTAAGTAAAAAGGGTTGATCAATCATGAACGGATTGCTTTGGGGCTTATTGTTATTGCCCCCAGTATACCATACCGTACCAAAAATGATAACTAATGCACACAGTAAGGCAGTGCCGGAGTTGGAACTTTGAAATATAGCCTACCCTAGCTTCAATTGTTGTTTTTGCTGCTCTTTGCAAGTTTTGATTGGGAGGGAGGGAACACACACAGTTCACCAGCTCCACGATTATTCTTCCCCACCCCACCCCACCCCACCCAGGTCTTTCTTTCCTGTATGTGGATATTGTATCTGTTTCTCTTCCGTTGTTCCGTGGAGGAAGTTTCATCTCTCTCTCTCTCTCTCTCTCTCTATTTATACATGTATCCTCAATAGTGGTTAGTTAGTGTATACAATCCAACCAATCCAACCAATCCAACATTCATCTTTTAGCTATTCTTTTTGGTGTTTGTTAATTGATTTGGTCTTCCTTTAGGGCTAATTTTTGAATTTTTTTAATTTTTTTATGTGCTTTGATTGTTAACTTCACTCCAGGTCAAACATAATTGATGATGGACGCGGGAGGCAATTCTCTTCCATCCGGACCTGATGGTGTGAAGAGGAAAATTTCTTACTTTTATGACCCAGAGGTTGGCAATTACTACTATGGTCAGGGTCACCCTATGAAGCCACATAGGATCCGAATGACCCATGCTCTTCTTGCCCACTATGGATTGTTGCAACACATGCAGGTCCTAAAGCCCTTCCCTGCACGGGATAGAGATCTTTGCCGCTTTCATGCTGATGATTATGTGTCCTTTTTGAGGGGTATAACCCCCGAGACACAGCAAGATCAGCTAAGGCAACTCAAGCGATTCAATGTTGGTGAAGACTGCCCTGTCTTCGATGGTCTTTACTCTTTCTGTCAAACTTATGCTGGTGGATCAGTTGGTGGCGCAGTTAAGTTAAATCATAGTCTCTGTGATATTGCCATTAATTGGGCTGGTGGACTACATCATGCTAAGAAGTGTGAGGCATCTGGATTTTGCTATGTAAATGACATTGTCTTGGCAATCTTAGAACTTCTTAAACAACATGAGGTGGGTGGCTCACATCACAGACTTACGGGTTTGTGTCTCATGATATTCTCTTTGTCCATTTTCTTAATTTTGTTGCTCTCATGCTGAGTGTTCTTATGCTTTAAGTAAGAAAGTGTGCTTAACGAAAATATGTTTCGCTGACCAGTCAAGTGCCTTCCTTCCCTGTGGTGTTGTAGAACCGGTGTTTGATATTGTCTATAATAGGATTCGAATAAAAGCCTTAGTAGTTCAAGAAAAATGTAAAGAAGAAACATTTTTCATTAAACACCAAGATGGACATCACCAATCAATATGTTTTTTTCCTCTCTCTCTCTCTCTCTCGGGAGGGGATCTTTTGGTTGTGTTTGTCAAGTTTAACTTTGAAAGATGAAAGAGGCAGTTCTTATTTGATACAAGAATGCAGTAGCTCAGAGCTTGGGTCTTTTTCGGGCCACTATTCTCCAGATATTTTGGACAGTGGCCATCCGAGGGCCACATTTGCCGAGGAGAGAATCTGACAGCCTGCCATTGCTGTGGCCCCGAACCAAAAAAAAAGAGGGGGGGGGGGGACCAGCTGACCAGCTATCAGATTAGCTCCTCTGTGAATGTGGCTGGCTTTCTGGAGGAGTCCGTGCATTAATTTTAGGAGATGTCTAGTGCTGTTTGCTTATGACCTCATTAACTTTGCGATGTAGTCTATCAATCTAAAAATTACCCTTCTCTGATTGTTATGTAAGTTTTTAGGGTCTAATTTGTGCATTTGACCTAGATTTACCTTGTTTTAAACTTTCCTACGTGCTAATTTAATCTCATTTGAATTGTAGCGTGTTTTGTATGTGGACATTGACATTCACCACGGGGACGGTGTTGAGGAGGCTTTTTACACCACTGACAGGGTCATGACTGTGTCATTCCATAAGTTTGGAGATTATTTTCCTGGTACTGGGGATGTACGTGATATAGGATATGGGAAAGGGAAATACTACTCCCTTAACGTACCATTGGATGATGGGATTGACGATGAGAGCTACCACTTCTTGTTCAAACCAATCATTGGTAAAGTGATGGAAGTTTTTAAGCCCGGTGCGGTGGTTCTCCAATGTGGTGCTGATTCCTTATCTGGGGACCGGTTAGGATGCTTCAATCTTTCAATAAAAGGCCATGCAGAGTGTGTCAGGTATATGAGATCTTTCAATGTGCCACTATTGTTGCTGGGTGGTGGTGGTTACACCATCAGGAATGTTGCTCGTTGTTGGTGTTACGAGGTATGATGTTTGTTTCTACATAAATCAATTCCATATCGTGAGTTTGCAAATTAATTGGTTGAATTTGTCATCAATGGGGCATGTTTGGCTTTAAAGATGCCAAATCTATCATGCAATAAATATTTTTGTGCATCATGAATAGGACACTTATTTTTTGGGTACAATGGAGGCCGAAGCGAGAAAAGCAATCACTAATGTTGGCATCCCCAGTCAGCGGCATCCTTAGCAAGAAAAATCTGCAATGAATTCTCTGAACCAGCAGGTCACTAGATTGTTGGAGAGCTTTTTGTGTGAGTTGATCAACACAACCATTAGCTTCATGAGGTGCATATTGAAGATTGCAGATCCACTCCCATGCCATCATCTTTCAAATTTGCAAGATCAGATTATGACTTGGATGACTGAAATTATTCCACCAGATGTGATCCAAAGCCTCTTGCAAATCTGTTTCCAAAGTCGCTTGTTGATATCCCCACTGCCAAGCCACATTAAGGCCTTGCCTTATAGCCCAAAGTCCATTAGAAATAGCTGTTGCCGACCCAATATTGTAGAGCAAACCAATCAACCAGAAGCCAACACTATCCCTTATCAAATATCCAATACCTGTGATCTGCAGATTGCCAACCGAGGACCCATCAGTGTTAACCTTCACTGATGCTGCCATGAATGCTCTGTCACGCCATTCACCAATTCCACCTCTTTAACCATTTCACAGATAACATCAACTGGGCTTCTTGGAATGATGAAAGAATCTTCATGTACCGATTTATTTCTCCAAAGCCACTACAAAACCAGAGTACCCATGAATAACATTACTCAAAAGAATAATGCTATATGTACCAATTAGTATATTAACTAATGTACTAATTGATAATGTGGCATAATTTAAGAGATTTTTGGTATTTGTAATGCGATTAATGAATGGGGTCAACAATAATGTCATAACTAGTGTTGGTACACTAGTTAGTATACTAATTGGTGTATGTAGCACCACCGTACCCAAAATGCTCACTGTTATTTGACCATATTGATTTTTCCATGTTTGTGTGTCAACCCAATATTGCTAAGGAAGGTTGGAAAAGGTTTGGAAATGTTTTGATTTAATTAGTTGCCATCAAACATTCTTGGGGGGGTTTATAGTCTCTAACCTCATTCAATGTTGTTTCACCATGAACGCCACAAATTGGACAATGTCTATCTCGTCCAAGTTGTGTACTACACTTCAAATGAGCAGTGAGAAGCTTATCATTTTTGATTAGCCAATCAAAGATTTCAATCTTTGCAAGTACATACTTTTTCAGATTGCCTGCCACTTCCTTCTGACCTTGTCCAGCTTCTTCTAACACTCTCAAACTGTTCATATAATGCTTTAACATTGAGCTTACAATTGGTTGTTATAATGCCATACCATCCTATCTGGATTATCATCCTATATAATTGAAGTGACACTTCGTATAGCATCTAAACCATGGGTAGGCGACAACAAATATACAGCTTAGCGTTTTAAAAGACGCGCTTAGGCGCGCGCGTGAGGCGCAGCCTTGCACTTCAAATAGGTCGAGGTGAGGCGCAATACGCAAGGCGCAGCTTAGGCGCTGAGGCGAGGGCTTTTTTTCAAGGCACAAGGCATGGGCTTCATGCGCTTTACCTATTTTTCTATTCCAACTGTTGATTAAGTGCTTTTTTTGTGGACATATTCACAGGGAATCAAAATTCTTCAATATAAAATGACCAGACGTGGTCAAAAGAGAGCAGAAAGTGATTTAAAAAAACCCTAAGTGGAGAAGATTAAAAAAAGCGATCAGAAAGTGAGAAGACAACACGGCTTCGGCTTCTTCTCTAGGTTCTTCTCTTCTTCTTCGGTGGTTCTCTTTCTCTTCTTCGGTGGGTTCTTTTGGTTAGGTTATCTCTCTACTTCTGTTTTTTCTTCCTTTGTTTTTCTTCTTTACTTCTTTTCTCATTTTCTTCTTCTGTTGTTCAATGGGTTCTCTTCATGGCTCAGCCACTGTTTTTTCTTTTGTTATTTTTCTTTTCTTCTCTTCTTCTTTTCTTCTCCTGCTTCTTCACTGGATTATCTCTCTGTTTTTTTTTTTTTTCGTGTTATGCTTGTGAAGCTTGTTTTATGATTTTTAGAATTCTATATGTATTTGTTATGTTGAAAAGTTTGCTTATTTTATAATTTTGCTTTTCTTCTACTACTTGTGCCTCGTCTTGCACCTCGCGCTTAGGCTATTGAAGGCCTTATTGCCTCGGTGCGCTTAGAGCCTTTTAAAACACTGAGCTTACCAATTCCATCTATGACATTCTTGATAAAAGAGAATGAATAGAAATCTTGTATCACTCTTAATCAATCAATTGAGTACAATTATATATGCTAATAGAATAAAATCCTAGCAATCTAAAGGATTAAACTATCCTTAATGAACAATATAAACTCCAAATTCACACCCCCCCTCAAACTGAGGATGCGAGTGCAGAAAGCATCGAAAGTTTGCCAAGAAGAAAACGAAAACGAGCAACAATGTGAGTCTTTGTAAAAAAATCGGCCAATTGAAGAGAGGAAGGAACAAAAGGGAGAGTAATAGTGCCAGCCTGAAGATGCTGTCTGACAAAGTGACAATCTATTTCAACATGCTTGGTCCGCTCATGGAAGATTGAATTATGGGCAATTTGGACTGATTATTACAATACAACGGAGTTGGATTAGAAAGAGATACACCCATATCAGAAAGAAGCCACTGAAGCCAAATGATCTCGGAAGTAGAATGAGCCATGGCACGATACTCAGTCTCAGCAGTGGAACGAGTAACAACAGACTGTTTCTTACTCTTCCAGGATATGAGAGAATCGTCGAGGAAAACACAAAGACCAGAAGTGGATTTACGATCAGAGATGTCACCTGCCTAATCAGCGTTAGCATAGGCATGAACAGTCAAGTTCGAAGAGGCAAATAACAGCAAACATTGTAACAAAGTGCCACGAAGGTAGCGCAGAGTACGGAGTAAGGCAACCCAGTGTGTGGAGCGAGGAGCAGAAACAAACTGACCAAGAATGTGCACAACATAGGAGATATCCGAACGAGTAATGGTGAGATAAGCAAGGCACCCAACCAACTCGAGATACACAGTGGGATCCTCAAGAGGAACGCCATCAGAAGCCGAAAACTTGGCATGCAACTCAAGAGGAGTGTCAACAATTTTGTTATCAGTGAGATTCGCACAAGAAAGAATATTATGGGATCATAGGCATATTTAGTCTGAGAGAGAAGATACCCCAGTAGGAGAAGTAGCAACCTCAATACCAAGAAAATACCGAAGAGATCCCAAATCTTTCATCTCGAACTCCTGAAACAACTGATGCTTAACCTCCTCAATAGTACTATAATCAGAACTAGTAATGATCATATCATTTACATATAAGAGAAGGAGAACAAGGCTAGCAGAAGTGCGCCGAACAAAGAGAGCACAATCATGATGACTAGGGTGAAAACTAAGCTGAAGTGCAACAAAGTGAAAGGGCTCATACCAAGCACAAGGAGACTGCTTGAGACCATATAGAGCACGACGAAGACGACAAACAACACCAGGAAAGTGAGAGAGACCTGGTGGAGGGCGCATATACACTTCTTCAGCAAGATGTCCATTTAGAAAAATATTTTTGACATCTAGTTGAAACAAAGGCCAGTGATGGGCAGCAGCAACAAAGATAAAAATACGAACAGTAGTCATTTTGGCAACGGAGGCAAAAGTCTCATCGTAATTAATCCCATACTCCTGAGAAAAAGCCCTGTGAAAATTAAGCTGAAGTGCAACAGAGTGAAAGGGCTCATACCAAGCACGAGGAGACTGCTTGAGACCATATAGAGCACGACGAAGACGACAAACAACACCAGGAGGGTGAGAGAGACCCGGTGGAGGGCGCATATACACTTCTTCGGCAAGATGCCCATTCAGAAAAGCATTTTTGACATCAAGTTGAAACAAAGGCCAGTGATGGGCAGCACACGAGCTTGGTAACGGGATAAAAGTTTCATCGTAATCAATCCCATACTCTTGAGAAAAGCCCTGGGCAACCAAACGAGCTTTGTACCGTTCCAAAGAACCATCAGAAAGGGTTTTCATCTTATAGACCCATTTACAGCCTACAATATTCTTATTAGCTGGTAATGGAACTAAATCCTAAGTCTGAGTGTTAGCTAAAGTAGTTAACTCGTCATTCATGGCAGCAATCCAATTAGGATCGTGACAAGCTTCCTTGTAGGACCTGGGCTCAAAATAAATATGAAGACAAGAAAGAAAGGACTGATAGGAAAGGGAAAAACATGTATTACTATAACCATACCAGTTTAGAGGATGACGGGCACGATTTGGAAAACGATGTGTAGGAGGAGCGGGATCCAGAGAAACAGCTGGAGGGATAGTAGAGCTAGAGATAGGCGAGCTCAGAAGTGCTTTGTGGCTCTAATAAACAAGAAGAGGAGTAGAGGAAGTGCTTGGCGAGATAGCAGAAGTGCTAGTAAGAGGCAAAGTAGAGACCTCGAGATCAGAAACAAACTCATCGGGAGAAACATCAGGAGGAAATGGGTCAATGTGAGCCAATTCATCCTGGGTAATAGGGACAGGGGTGGAAGGTATAGTGTAGTATGGTAGTTTTTCTAAAAAGGTGACATGCCTAGACACATATAGTTTTTTGGTGGTAGGATTATAGCCACCATTAACCTTTCTGAGTAATGCCATATCATAAAAAGACACATAGAACACAACGAGAACTAAATTAGAGCGCTCCCGTTTAGGAAGAAGCACAAAGCATGCAGAACCGAAAATACGAAGAAGAGAATAATTAGAAGGAACACAAAAAAGACGCTCATACAGAGATGAGCCTGAGAGAAGAGGAGTAGGCATTCGATTGAGAAGATATGCAGCAGTGAGCACAGCTTCTCCCTAGAAAACAGAAGGGACAAAAGACGAGAGCAACAAAGAGCGAGCGGTATCAAGGAGATG